GAGCAGTTTTTAGTAAAATAGACATTTTTATGGTTGAGAGGTTTTTATTGTTGCCTAATGTAAATCATTCCAAATGTCTCAAAGCTGAAAGCGATTACCTCAAACACCGCAGACCTAAAATAACACACGAGTTAAAAAAAGGAAGAAGAAGAAAATAAAAGGAAAGAAAGATCTTGAGCAATCAGTGGAAATCAGGTTTTGAGATTTGGTGCAAAAAAATGCCTCCCACATACCTAAAACCAAATCACTCAGACTTAAGACTTTACCATGTAAACTAGAAAAGTCTAAATTTATTTAGCAACCAGGTGTTGTTTTCTCTTTCTGCCACATGACTCCCATTACTGCTGCAGGAACGTTGCAACAAATGAGGTGGACCGTGTGGAGTTGAACAGTAGCTCCCAGATTTAAGACGCACTGACTGCAGGCAACCTCAAGKAGAGAAACGTAKAAAAATAAATAAAATAGAAGCTTGTCTGATGTTAAGTGGAGAGAAAAGAAATAATCTGTTTATTATTTCCGTCCTGGCAGAGGCTGAGAGAGGAGCAGTCATGTTAACAAGGCTGTTGAAAGGAAGCAGACAGGAAGCTGGATGTGGGAGGAGGAGCAGATGATGGAGCACTTATTCTGTGATTAAAACACATTATTGTCTGGCTAATAAATAGAGAAGTGTGCAAAGCTGATTAAGCTTTAAAATTTGTTGATTTGAAAAAAAAAACTAGTTGCATTTCAAGGAACTTTTTTAATTAATTTAACAGTTAATTCCCAGTAATATAAGCAGGCAAGGTTTAAACTCAGTGTGGAACTTTTTTTTTAAATAAAATATGTGTTACAGTATACAGTTGTGTGAATTTGAGGATAACTGGAACACTTGGTTGTGTTGGTATTGATTAAGWAAGTGCTCCCAGCTCCAGCTTCAGTCCAGATGGCTGAACACGTGGTCTGTGTAATAAATAAAATGCAGGTGATCGGCTACTCTGAGGCTTCTGAACATGAAAATCTAGTTGCCACAATCGTATAGAAGTTGATAGTTGATCCTAAATTAGTCATGACAAATAAAAGATGTTCTGAGACAACACAGGTATTCTTCCCAGAAGTTACAACAGAACAAAACTTGTAACGTATTCTTCAACTGTAGCCAACTTGTGCGAGGCTGCAATAAAGTTTAAAGAAATGCGTGTAATGCATGGCTGCCATGCGCCTGTCTTTAAGATGTGTAATTATGTCTGTCTAGAAGATGGAGCTTTTTTAAATAAAACTGAAGTAGATATGGCCTGTAGCTACAGGACACACCACTGCATCTAATTACACACCTAAATAGTAAAAAAGTCTGGAGGAGTCAAGACAACATTCTTCTTTGGCACGTCGGGACRTGGCTCAGAGACAGAAAGGATAGCTGCACAAGATGATAAAAAAGTCTAAAGAAAACAGTTAAACAGTGAGAAGCACACAGACTATTTTAATAAGAAATGCATTTGATGAGTGAAAACACATGGTTTATATAGAATTACCATAATCAGAAATTAGGCTATTTTGGGTAAAAGACAGATTACATTTTCTACTTTACATTTCAGAACTGTATTTACAATTCATGTTTTTCTTTTTTATATAAGTAATATGATTATCTAATATGTAAAAAAGTAAACCAGTTCTCAAATAATCTTGGCACTGGCTCAGTAAATCAAAAAGAAAACAGACAGAATAAAGTGATGTGAAAAGCAAGTGATGATCCAGGTCTGAGTTTTGCAGCAAATTAAATCTTTTGAGAAATGAAATTTTGCTGTAATCCTCCAGCTTGATTCTTTTTGTCAAGAAGCATGATATATATATATA